ATTAGCATTCATTACAATAAGAAGCAGGAGCGGGAGGACCGCAGGGAATGAGGGCCGGTCTTTTGAAACTCTTGGCTATTCACTCCTCTCCTATAGGGTGGGAGGGGGAATGGGAGGGCCAGGAATGCAGGCGGGGACCTGGGAGGGACTCTGGGGCGCTAGTCTGTGGTCAGAAGGAAGAACCTCCTCCTCCTCACCTCCCCCACCCCTGCCAGTTCCTGTCCCAGATGCCAGGTCAGCACCCCTGGTCACTCTCCCTCCAGAACAGGGCCGAATCACAGCCCCTTCGCGGCCTGCGGGCCTCCCTTGTTGGAGTGTGGATGGTCCTAAGGGGGCTCATGAAATGCGCTGGCTGGACAATAGCCCCGCCGGCAGGGGGCTTTCTCTAGGATCTGGGGGGGTGGTTCCCGCCATGGCAGAGTGAGCAGTTCAGCATACCCCATCCATCATTTCCACGCCATCCTTTTAACTGTGCCTTTCCCTAGAGGCCCCCGTGCCTCTCTGTGCCCACCCCTGGCCCCACGTCCCTCTTCCTGCCCAGATGTTTGTCCAGGTGCGCTCCCTGTTCTGACTGTACCTTGGGGAAGGAGAGGCTGAGAATTCACACCTCTAGCGTGCTCCACCATAACCTCCAAACTGCAGGTGCCCAGGAACAGGTGGGGGGCGGCAGTATGTGAGAAGCTCGGTTAAGCATTGTTGATTCCTCAAACAAGCCAGCTGCCCCCTCCCCACCAAGAGCAACGCTCCAGAGAGGCCGGGGAGGAGGGCCGGAGGGAAGTTACCTGTTGAGGGATGAGAGTGGGGGTGGGGCGGCACCTGAGGCATTTCAGGGGGAGGCAGCTGGAACACTGGTTGTGCCAGGGCACCAGGCCAGCTTCCAGGAGCAATTCTCTCGTCTCTGAGCTGGAGAATTAATACCTGCGTTGCTCTGCCCCTGATCCGTGGCCATGGCTTCCCAGCCTTTTCCCTACCTCAGGAGACTCTGCTTTGGGCCTGGGACCTATCTTCCCTGGGGGGTGGGCCAGAGGATCTCGTGGGGTCAATGTCACCCGCCCTCTGGCTCACTGTGGGGTCTCAGTGTTTTGTTTCTGATCCGAAGCTGTATCTCTTCTCACCCCCGGGTTGGGTGGGTGTGGATGAAGTAGTTGAGGGGAATAGGGGGTCAAATGAAATCGTGGCTATGCAGATGATGGGAAATATTAAGGGTTCATCTTCAGGAAGTGAGCTACAGCGGCGCCTGGGTGGCTCAGTGGTTAAGCGTCTGCCTTCGGCTCAGGTCAGGATCCTGGAGCCCTCCTGATGCAGGAGGTCACCTCAGGGTGGGGAAAGATGGGTGCATTGCCCTGCTGACACCTTTGGAACTGTTCCCAGGTTCTGGGGGCTGATTCACAGAACCTGTCCCCCCAGTCTCCGAACCAGTGGCTTCTTGGCACTTATCATAAGGGCAGAAATATCTCTATGTGACTGGGCAAGCATCTTTCCTGTCATCATCCAGGGCTAATGCCCAGTTCCTTAACCTTGACATAACCGTATGTCTTAACGCTCAGCCCTGTTCCTGAGCCCAGCTCTCTTCTATCCACAGAGGCTGGCCCTAGCTTCTGGCAGTGCACAGGGTTAAGAGGTGCTGCTGGTGATAGGAAAGAGGCTGGGAGGTCTGCAGTCGGGCAGATCTGGGTTTGAATTTCAGCTGTGCTCCTCTTAGAGTGGGCACATGGCTATTCCTGTCCGAGCCTCAACTCTTTATTTCTGAAATGGGACCAAGGACGCCCGTTCTGCAGGATTGTTAAGAGGGTTAAATGAGAGAATATGAGTAAAGCACTTGCTGATTCCCTTCTCCTTAGGTGGGCACAAAGTGGGGCAGGAAAGAGACCCCGTCTCAGGGGGACCCTGACAGGGAGAGGAAGGGTCAGAGTCTGTGTAGTTGAGTCAGACTTCTGAATGAAGGAGCAGAAGCTTGAGTCCCCAGCCTGTAGGCTGTGAGAAGCGTGGGAGGTGGTGTCCAAGCAGCTGGGGGGAAGCCACCCCTCCCTGCACCAGCCCCTCCCCTACACAGGGCCTGCTGCCTCCCATGCCCATCCTGGGCAGACAGCCAGGCAGGGAGCTGGAAGAGTGCCCGCTGTGCGCTCAGAGGCCAAAAGATGGGCACCGTCCAGTTGGCAGAGGGAGAGGAAGCTGGCCCAGGACTGGAGAAGTCAGGGTGCCGACTGCTGGGGTCGTGTGCCCAGACGGTGTGTCCATGACACAGCTCTTGGCTGCCCTCCGGAGCTATCCTGCTGGAGCTGGGAAGGGCCACCACCGCCCTCCTGCCCTGGCCCTACCACCTAAGTTAGTGCAAGTGGAGATTAATCTCGAGGGGCATCTGGGACTTGCCGCCAGCCGGGCATGTGGCTGGCTCAGGGGCAGGCCTGAGGGCGGGCAGGAAAATGGGAGAGCCTAGATTAAGGTTGCAACCTGGTAGACTAGGAAGTGGGGAAACCGGTTTGTCATTTGGGCCCTTGGGGTGGGGTCTTCTCTCCTGCCTCACTGCCTGCCTGCCACTCTGCCTGGTGTCCTTTATTGAAGAGAGGTCCTGCGCCCCTTTCCCGCTCCATCTAAAGTATCTTTGGGGATGCCAGGAGTAAAGAAAAGCGGCAGGGGACTCAGTCCACCTTCTCCTCCCCAAGAGCAGCTTGGGAGAGGAGAGACAGGACAGAGAACCGAAGGCAGAGAGGAAGCAAGCAACCAGCACAGGAGCAGGGGTCATGGTCTGTGCTGGTCAGAGCCGGAGAAGTCTGTGGAGCCAACAGGTAGGCCCGGGTGGGACAGGGAGGAGGTGGGAATAAAGCGGGGGCGGGGCAGAGCTAGCGCTCTGCATGCTGCCTTGGAGGTGGCCGGGCAGAGCCAAGTGAGGTGTGAGAAGGGGCTGGAGCGCGCCCCTTTGGGGTCCTGCTTGACGGCGGAGCTGACTCCCCTCACTCCTAGCGCGGGCCTCTGCAGTTCCAGCAGACGCCTGCAGGAGGGGCCGCAACTGGAGCTGGGGGCAAGGAGACAGCCCAGCAGGGGGCGCCGGGGGACTGGATCTCTGCGGCTGAGCCGAGTCTAAGGAGCGGGGGAGGGGGGCGTCCCGGCAGAGGCAGAGGAGGGTCTAACTCTCCCCGCATAGGGCGGCTGTGGCTTTCGGAGGTCACCTTGGCTGAAAAGTGGCCCCCCGGTCCCGCCGCTCCGCTTGCCTTCCCTGCGCGGTTCCTCCCCGAATGCTTCCCCATCCCCTAGTGCGCCAGGGCTTGGAGACCGAGAAGTCGCCCACCCTCGAGGTGCACCCCCCTCCTCCGAGGCCGGTCCCGGGCCTTAGGTATTTGTCTCGGTGGTGGTGGTGCTGCGACGATTGCTCGGGGTGGGAGAAGCAGGTGGAGTGGGGAGAGGAGCGGGAGCGCGCCCCGCACCCCTGGCCCGGCCGCGCGCCGCGGGATCCCGCCGTGCAGCTGGAGGGCGCGAGGCGCAGCGCCCCCTCAGCTCCTCGGCTCCCCGCCACCCCGGGCGGCCCTTTGTACGTTCCGGCCACAGGCGGGTGCCCGCGCCGCGCGCGCTCCCGCCCGCAGTGACACACCCGCGCCGGCCCGCGCGCGCGCCCCCCCCACATACACACACACACACACACACACAGACACACACACTCGCTCTCGCACACTCGGTGACACGCCCGCGCGCGCGCGCACCCACACGCCCGGCCGCCGGCGCCCTCCCAGCTGGTCCACCCCGGCGGGGCCCGCGCCCCCGGCCCGCCCGCCTGGCACCGCGCCCCGGGGCTGGGGCCGAGCGAGGAGCCTGCGAGGCGGCGAGAGGGCGAGCGCCAGGCAGGCCGGCCCGGGGCCCCCGCCCCCCGCGCCCCCGCCCGATGGGGAACGCTCCGTCCCAAGGCATGTCCCTGTCTCTCTCCTCCCTAATGTGCCTCCATGCTTAAGTGGAAGGTATTTCTGTTTTCTTTGTGTGTTTTCCCCTCGGCCGGGGGCGGGGGCGGCGGCCGGGCCGGGGAGGCGGCGGCCGGTGGGGCGAGGGATGCTCAGGGCGCAGGTGTTGGGGGGTGGGCAGGGGACCGCTGCGTGCAGGCTTGGGAGAAGGACCCGGGCGACAGGAGTCCTGGGACCAGAGGGGGTCAGGAATTGGCGAGGCTGGAGACAGAGCGGGGAGGGCCTCGTGATGCCCGGGGGAAGGGGGCCCGAGGGGTGAAAATTTAAAGGGGTACGTGTGGAGGGAGGAGGGGTGGGGAGAAGAGGAAGGGGGATGGATGGTGAGGGGAGTGGGGGAGGGGAGTGGTCCATCCATGGTGGAGGAAGAGAAGGATGCGGGGGTGGGGGAGGGAGGTGAGGGGGATGAAGTGTGCGGGGGCGGGGAGCCTCAAAGGCCTCTCTTTCCCCCAGGTCCCAGGATGGGGTGAACGCACCTGGACGGTGGTGGTAGGCGCTTTGCGCCAGCCCCCCAGGGAAGGAAGGGGATGAGTGCATTCTGGGTTTGGCTGTGTTGCCAGGATACGAACCTGTATTCACCCCCCCGCCCCCCTCACCTCGAGGCCCTAGCCCTGGAGACCTCAGAGCCTAGGCAGCAGTTGCAGAAACTGGGGACCAGCTCCCCGCTCAGCTGGCGGGTAGGGAGGGGCCATAAGAGGGAGGGGCTGGGGGAGGGGCTATTTGATCTTAAGCCCTCCCCTTGCGGAGGCCGGAGGGCAGGGGAGGGCGCCCCCAGCTGGGGAGAGCATCCAGGGCGAGTGAGGAGGTAGCGACCGCTGGAGGCTGAGGGGCAGAGGGCGGGGCTGGGGAGGGGACGCGCCATAGCCCCCCCTCCCCTCCCACGCACCCCCCTGCTACGTCAGAAGCTCCGGGGCCAGCTCCGAGTCCTGTCGGTGGGGGCAGCAGGATGCTGGTGGAAGCAGAGGGGGCCGGCCGGGTGCCTCCGCAGCTCGGCTGGCAGGGCCCGGCGGGGCGTGTGCTGCTGCTGGTGCTAACCCCCCCGCCCCACCCCTCCCCATGCAGCCCTGGCAGTGCCTCCGGCGCTTTGCCCTGGCCTGGTGGGAGAGGACAGCGGAGGGCAGCGCCCGATCTCCTAGGGAGGAGGCTGGACCGAGGGACCCCGGGGGCCGAGGGGAGCCAGGTGAGCAGGAACAAGGATTGTGCCAGGAGCAGATCCCGGACTGTTCTTCCCTCTCTCCAAATACTGTGGAAACAGGAGGTCCTGCAGCCCCCAACTTTAGGGGAAGTGTTTTCCCCCCTGGTGGCGCTGGTGGAGGGCTCCTGGATGAAGCCTTCTCAGGAGATGTCGGAGCTACTGTTGTTTTGGGGGAAGGGGAAACAGATAAGCCTGGGAGTGGGGGATAGCCGACCAGACTTCGGACTCGTAGGTCTGAACGTTCCTTGGTGTGGGGTTTGAGCACTTTGTGTGGGGAGGTTGGATACCTTCTTCCTGACTCTGGGTGACCTTGAGCCAACTGCTTTGCTGTCTAACTTCATGCCTCAGTTTCTCTCATTCCCGTCCCTATCCCTCTTGCTGGTTTTCAAGAACTGATGATGCATTTGATGGAGACTGTCACTATGAAAATGTGAAGCTCTGTCATTCTTAGTGGCAGCTGTCGTGGTGGTTTCTCTGGTGTGGTTGTGCGTGTGTATGTATGTGGGGGACAGTTTGGGTTTATGCATGAGGGCTTTTGCCGGTTCTGGTTGGTGTTGGGGCCATGGCGAGCAAGTGTCAGGGCCTGGCATTCACGCAGGAAGGAGGGCTCCAGGCAAGCTTAAGAGTTGTTGGGGCAGAGACTTAGCTGGTGGCCTGCTGTAGAAGCAAGGCTTGGGGGTGAGGGCTTGGGGTGTAAGGGGAGGGGGTTACAAGAATAAGATACCCCCACCCTCTGCCCAGATTGCCTGGCACCCAGGCAACATTGGCAGTGAGTGCAGAGGCTTTGCCCTGGCTTCTTGCCACCAAGCCTTGGGGACAAGAGGGTCTTTGTCCAGTGCCCCCCCACCGCCGCCCTGTTCCTTCCGCCCTTACCATGATGGCTGATTCTCTATGATGACCCTCAGGGCTGGGATGGAGATATGGGTCCCCCATGTGCTCTGGGGATCTGGAAGAAGCAACTGTGGTCCTCAGGCAGGGCTGAGTGGAGAGGGGGAACTCTCCTAGGGGAAGGATCCCTGGGAATGAGCCATCAAGAGGCCTGCCCCCCCACCCCAAGCCTTCTGCTTGCCTCCTTGTCTAATGGGGGGGGGGTCTGGGGTCTTTGTGGCCTGATTCCTGCTGAGCTCCAGGTTTTTTAAAGATGTACAGGGTACAGCGTTGGGTGCTGGGATGCAGAGCCTCAGACGCTCTCTCTTTCTCTCTGGCCAGGGACCCACCCTGGAAAAAGGGTTTAATTAGAACCATTGATTCCTTCTTTGGCCGTGGGCATCGATCTCAACGTTGTGGTCAGAGCTGGGGGGCGGGGGTGGCATGGCGACTGTCTGCACAGTGCCAACCTTGGCTTTCTCTGACAAAACCCAAGCTTAGGAGGGAGGGCGCTGGGCTCTTTAAAGTACCAGGTCTGTTTGAGCCCCACCCCCACTCCAGGTCAGGTCTTGGGGAAAGAAGGGATTGGGGGTTGAGGATCTGGATGGAGGGAGGGGTGTTTGGGGTTCAGGATCATACCGAATGGTGGGCCTGGGGCTCTGGAATGGAGGGGCAGCTATGGTTGGGTGGGGTCCTGCGAAGGGGAGTCAGGAGGCAGCAGACAGGGCCTGTGGGTGTGGGGCAGGCCGAGAGTTCAGGGGAAAGACCTAGGGCTTGCCATAAAAGCTTCTCTTTCGAGGAATCCCAAGCACTTTATCTCCTCTAGCCCTGGCAAGGAGATCCAATTTCTTCCTTTGCTTGTGTCCTCAAGGCCCAGAGAGGGACAGAGACTACCTCGGAGGCCCAGCAGGCCTGGGTGTGGCCTTCGAGTCTGGCTGCCTGAGCCAGTGGCCCCTACCTAGGCACAGAGAGCTGAGGGTGAGGCTCCTGGAAGCCTCGATTCTGATTTCTGGGCTTGGTGGGAGGTGGGGGACAGCTTGTGCCCCCCAAGCCCCGACTGCCTGTCGTGGGTGGGCTGGTGCAGGTGTGGGCTTCAATGAGCCACTCAGATGCTCTTTGAAGAATCCCTTGCTGGCTTCCTAGGGCCCATTCGAGCAAAGATAATAAAAATCTGGCCGTCAGCGGGTTTGAGGGCTGCACTCGCTTCCCCTTCTTTCATTCCCAGCTCTGAAAAGCAGAGATGCAGGCTTTGGATTTGGCTGCTGCCCCAAGGGAGAGAGGGAGGGAGGGAGGCAGAGGAGGAGGGACCGATTTCCTGGCAGCCAGAGAATTGCTGGGGAGGTGGGCTGAGGGGCAGGGGCTTGGTCCCCAACTCCTTCCAGACAGTCTCAAGGCCTCGATGGGGCTCCTATGCCTGATACCCAGACTCCAGCTTTCCTTCAGTCCCACAGGCCGGCAGCTCTCTCTCTGCTCCGCTGCTCCCACCGTCCGCCCCCCCCATGCCACCATCTCCCCCGCCTTGCTGCCCCCCCACTTCTTCCCCTGGTCTCCCCTCTCTCTGCCCCTCAGTTTCTCCTGCTCTGCACTTGATTCTCTCTCTCTCTTTCTCCCCCCACCTTGTCTCCCCTTTTCTCACTCTGTGTGCCCTCCTCCCGTCTGTCTGTCTTCCTCCCCCCAGCATTGGTCCTGCTTTCTAGGACTGTCTGGAAGGTGGAGAAGCCAAGTTGAGGGGTGGAGGGCAGCCGCAGGCACTGAAGGGACGGGTCTGGGTTGACTATTCTGGTCTGTCAGGTGCCATAGTTATCAGAGTCCAAGCGGAAGGGGGCTGCTGAGCCCTTGGAGAGGTGTGTGTAGCGAGGGCCCCATCCCCTCCCCACACCCCACCGGGCACCTTGCCCTGACCTCAGGCTTCCGACACTCCACAGTTCTCCGGCCGCCTTCTGCTGCTTGGCTGCCGGAAACCAGCGCCTCTGGCCTCGGCCCGTCCGCCCCTCTGGTCACCCACAGTCCCAGGCGCCGCTGCCACCCTGCCCACTCTCCCCCTCACCCCCACACGGTTTCCAGACTCGGAGCTGGGGAGGGAGGGGCCCCGACCCCGCCCCTCACCGCCGGTCTCCGGTAGGCCTTCCTGGAGCCCCATCCAGGCCCTGTGCCCTCTTTGCCATCTTGTCCATTTCCCATATAAAAGACAGGACCATTGTGGAAAGAGCACTAGACTCCGAGTAAAGGGACCTTGTTCCCATTCTTCCTCAGCACCCAAATGTCCGAATGACCTTGAGCAAGTCCCTGCCCGCTGCAGGCCTCTTTCCTCACCTGTGAAATGAGGGGGCGTGGGCTGGATCATCTCCAAGGTCTCTTCTGACATTCCCTGGATGTTGTGTCTCTCTTCTGGGTGATTTGCATATGCTTTGCATATATTAATGGTGCCTGCTTGAAGGGGGAAGGTGCCACCCACAAGGACCAGAGTCCCACCCACCATTCCGACTTCCCTTGCCCATTGGCCCATGCTTTCACTGCTAGAATCTCCTAGGGGGGGTGGAAGCTGAGGCTGGAGCCGTTTCCTGGGGAGGTGGGTCTGGCCCCTCGGTTCCAGATGTGCTGGAGGCAGGATGCGGGGTAGCCCCAGGAAGCCAAGTGCTGTGTGAATTTACTGAGGTTGGCTGTGGCTACCATGGGGTGTAGGAAACCCTGCCAAGGCTGGCTTGGGGGTTTCCCTCCTCCATTCCCAGGGCCTGAGCACCCTCTAGATGCCAAGGAGCTTAGCCACGTATAACAGTCCCTCCTCTGGTGTCAGCTCCCCCCACACAGCCCAGGGCAGGTCACGCTGTCTTGTAGCCCTGCCCACTTCTGCTCAGGCCCCTGGGCTCTGGGTATTTGTGAGTTGCAACTCGGACCTGAGAGCTCGTCACAGGACTAGCTCATTGCATCTCTGGGCCCTACCACTGAAGGTGAAGTCCCATGCTCCCTACAAGGGTCACAGACATCATCAGGGAGAGAGGATCTGCTGCCCCTGGTTCTGTCCCCACCTCCATCAGCCCAGCCAGTCTTGGCGGGACTGCCCCCAGAGCCTCCTGCCTGGCCTCCTGGCCTGAGCTCTGTCTGGCACCGGCCTGTGTCATGGATCCCAGCCCCCAGTCCTGCCTATGTTGCTTTCACCCCTATAATGCCCATCACTTGGGGCAAGGCTGGGATAAAGGTTGGCAGCCTGGAGAAGATGACGTGGGGCCACTGAGTCATGGCGAGAACATCTGAAGACAGAAGCAGAGATGGCCTCCACTACCAAGGAGGACTGGGCCAGAGGAAGCGGAGCAAGAGCGATCAAGGTTAGATTTAGTCTTAGAAAGGGACCGTCCCGGGGGGCAGATTCATTTCTGACCATAGGATTGCTGTGAAGAGAAATGCAATCATAGATGAAAATGTCCAGCACATCGCTTGATATATATTAAACACTCAATAAATGGTGTGGCGGAGAGAACAGATGTCTCTGAAACTGGAAAAGACCCTCCCCTAACCTCGAGACTTAGGATTTTGCAGGGGATGAGGAGTTGGAGGGACAGTTCCCAGAAGAGCTGTTTCTCCCAGTTTCTCCCACACTCAGGCTGCCGCTCCCCCAGCGCACTCCTCATGCCTCCTGCACGCACTGGGCTCAGGGCCCAGCCACCCGGGGACACCCTGCCCTCATCCGCTCTGTTGCAGGTGGGCAGACGGTAGGGTTTGGGGGTGAGAAAATATTCTCCTCCCCTCCCCCCTATCTTTGCCCAGGACAGCTTGGAAGGAAACAGGCCCACGCTGCAGTAGGAGGAATAGAGGTTAGATAGGAAAGTAAGCCTCCAGGGTGTGTGTGTGTGTGAAACACTCCAAGGTGGGGAGCTCTAGTGGGCTTTGACCTCAGTGATAGGTGTGTGTGAGCACGAGTAGGCTGGTGTTGTACCTAAGGGCAGGGGACTGGTTTGCATGACCTTTGAGATGACCTTTGGGCCATCCTGAGGAGCTTGATAGATCCACTTTCAGTCTTGTGGTTGTTGTGGTTGGCTGAGTACAAGGTACCGGGGTCCATGAGAGAGAGGAGTCGCCCTGCTGGGGAGAAGAAGGGGCCTGGGGAGTCACTCTTCGATTCC